CAAGGGCAGCGCGGAGTTGTATAGGAGACGGAACGCGTGTGGTGTGAGGGAGGCTGCTGCTCACGCCATGGATGCAGATGATGTTTCTCTCTGAGACAGAGGCAGGGTCAGAGGTGGTCAGCTGGGTCGGGGACACGTGGACTTTGACATGTCTGTGAGGCATCTAGGCGGAAGCATCGAATGTGCTGGTGGAATAATAAAGCTCCGTGTTTTTGAAGTGTATTTTAAAATTCTAATTTTTTTTTTTTTTTTACCAGTTCAGAGTAGCCATTGCACTCGACCCAGTCAGGTCGTCCTGAAAACATGAAGAGACAGCTGGAGATGTCTCTTGTCCCCAGATGGACAAATCCATTGGACCCTGGGTGGCGGCCCTCCCCTGCCCTCGGCCCCCAGCTACCAGTTCATCGACCCTGAGAGCAACGTGGTCACTTACTGTCTATGTGCTTGAATTTGCCAGGAACTTTCTATTTGCACTTCGAATGGCTCTAGCACACAAAACTCTGAGATAAAACTCCATCTGTGGTTAATGGAAAGATCTGCTTAAACGTTGCATCACCGCTGGAAAGAAACCTGAGCTTTGATTAAACTCTGGGGGCAAAGTCCCATCCTACAAAACAGAGTGCCTACTCTGGTCGTAGAAACCATTTCCAACTTCTGAGCTTAAAACACTGACATAAGGCCTCGAACCGAAGGCTCCCACCGCCCCAGAAGGAGCCACGGAGGGCCTGCCTGATAACATCTTTATCCTTCCATTTCTGTCATCAATCTGGCTGAGAGCGGAAAGGAAGGGAAGGGCTGAGCCACAGTCATCGCACTAAAATGTAAGGGTTGGAAGATGCAGCCAGCCACGCTGAACTATAAGCCAGCTTGGAACAAAATCAAAACAAGTAATTTAAAAAAAATTTGTGAGCCCTTACAGCCATTGGCCGATGCTTCTGTAACATCCACCCTTCTCCAGACTTTTGGCAAAAGAACAAGTTAAAAACAAATGCTTTCAGTTTGCTTAAATGACAGCCCTTGGAAAAACCCAGTGACTGATACTGCGCGCGCGGAGAACAGTTGGGTTGTTCTCCCAAGGAGAGGGCTGATCCACAAAGCCCTTGGAGCAAAATGGCCCTTTTCCGAGGGTGGTTAGAAAAAGCATCGAGTAAAGGTAATTAAGAATGTAAAGAAAAATGACGGCACAATTCTGGGATGGGATCCGTGCAAAAAAAAAAAAAGATGCTGAATAAATGCGTGTGTCTGTTCGCGTGCGTGTGAAAAGGAGTCTTCAGTCTTCAGTATTCCCTCCCCACTTTTGTTTTGTTTTAACAAACGTACATTCTATCAGCTCTTTTGTGAGGTAGGGGTGGATTGTAAATTCCATCCCTTATCAAAGTGCTTTTTATACAATAGGGGCTGGAGCTAATTACAATAAAATACCATCTGCATTCGATCGCACTGTACTTGAAGCCCTGTAACGTTCATTTCCAGTGTGGTCATTGGAACCCAACGGTGACTCTGCATTCCAGTGTCTCTGAATAATATTAACTCATCTTGTCCTTCCCTTAATAATACTAATCACACAATTTCCCCATGCCTAGGTGTTGCAGAAATGCTTCGCTGGTGTAGGAAAGCGTTCTGGAGCGCAGCAAGAAGAGGTGACACGAAACACTTGGGTAAAACAGCTAATTTTGCCTAATATTTCATCAGAATGACGAGGCCAAGTAAATATTAAGTCAGTCAGACTGACAGCTAATTGATGTGGTTTGTATTCAACTAGACTGATTTAAACAGGGGGATTTCGCTTGCGATTCTGAATTCATAATTGGGTCAGATGTCTCTCTGCTTTCCCCGCGGCTACAAATTTAATTAGTGCTGCGAGAGAGCAGTTTCCAATCGCACGGAAGAGGCAGGCAGGGCTGGAATGTGAAGGCTGTTTACCTTTTCTCTCTTTCTTCTATAGTGGAACGATGCTTTGATAGCAGCCGTGCCAGGAGCTTATTAAGCTCTTGTATAAAAGGGACTTTTATTTGAAAGAAGCCTAACTGCCACAGTCTTTGCTAAGAGAAAGTCTATCCTTCCTTCTCGTCCCTTCAAGGACACGGCTGATCGCTGGGAATGGTTTGCCCTAGTCCCAAACGGGACGGAGTACTCCGGATGCACCTCAAAAGCCCCGCACCTTAGATGCTGCAGCAGAGGTGGGTCTGGACACACCCACCCCACACCCTCAAGCCTTCCCCGGGCTCCTTCTCTGCTGCCTCGAACAATCTCATGCCCGACTCTGGTGCCCTGCTCTGCTGGGAGCTCACCCAGGGCAGACACCAGCTGGGTGGGCATCTCTGCTTCCCCTGGGGCACAGGGCCTGGTATCCAGCAGGTGCACAATCAATATTTGGGGAAGGAAAGGAAGTGCAGGCAAGTTGAATACCTTTAAATGTTTTTGGGTTTTGTTTTTTTTTTTTAGGTTTTTTGTTTGTTTGTTTCTGTTTGTTTTTAGTTTTTTAATTTATTTACTAGAGAGAGAGAGAGAGCACAGAGGGAGAGGGAGAACCGGACTCCTCACTGAGCAGAGAGCCCAACATGGGACTCGATCCCAGTACCCTGGGATCATGACCTGAGCTGAAGGAAGATGCTTAACCAACCGACTGAGCCACCCAGGCACCCCTGTTGTTGTTGTTTTAAGATTCATTTATTTATTTATTTTGAGAGAGAAAGTGAGTGAGTGGGGGGATGGGCAGAGGAAAAGGGGAGATAAAATCCCAAGCCAACTCTGTGCTGAGCACAGAGCCCAACGTGGGGCTCCATCCCAGGACCGAGATCATGACCTGAGCCGAAATCAAGAGTCGGACGCTTGACCAACTGAGCCACCCAGGTGCCCTGGATACCTTTAAATGCTTTAAAATTTAGTCACTTAAAAAAAAAAAAAAAAAAGGATGTCTACAAAACTCAGGGCCTATTTGAACTCTGCTGTAGTTCTAACAACGGAGAAACAGCTAAATTCTCAGAACGCCCTGTGGAAAAGGGGCCAAGAAATGCACTGCCCCATTATCTTCTCATTGCATGCTTCTGTGGGGGGATGGGGACGCCCCCATTCAAACGGCTTGCCCTTTGTTGTAACTATCTGTGCGGTCACAATTTAATAACTCTGAAGACTTCCGATGAAGAATAAGCATGACGTCTTCACAAGACTGAGCACACTGTTTGCTTGGAAGTGAAACTGTGGAGGGCCTGGCAGCAACTCTCTTCCTAGCTCAGAAGTTTCTCAACGCTTTGACCAATGCTGCCACTGTGAATCTCAGCACCCCCCTTGCAGCCTCAAAGAATGCACGTTTCTTTGGTGACCAGCACAGAGTACCCCTTCCTCTCAATTTTACACTGACGGAAGCATTGGGTCTGCTCATCCTTCTCCAATTGTCCCATTCTGTGGGAATCAGCAACTACAATCTGGCTCTGCTTCCAAGAGGAAAAAAATATACCAGCCCCTTTGAAAAACCATTCCTTCCAATTCCACGGTGTGAATGCACGTAGGTATAATCACAGCCCCCTATGACCAGGTGAGCTGATGTACGTTAAAGTGCTCAAGCACACAGTAGTCCCTTAATAAACATCAAATTCTTTTTCCCTGCTACGAATGAATAATGGGATTAGCATAATGCTTCATATCTATTTCCTTCTATCTAACCACCTATCCATTCATCCGCCTGCCTATAAAATCAATTCAGAAATATGTACAAGACATGTCTGCCTTGTCACAGCCCAATTACATGAATGAGTTCCACGAGGACCAGTTTCTCATGTGCACGAAATCAGAACACCACAAAGTGATACTCTGGAGAAGTGTGTTTCAGGTACTGTGCCCAGGGATAGACCATCTCTCCCGTGCACACTCCCCCCCCCCGCCCCCCAGCTCAGCCATTACAAAAGGAGCCATGACGGTCAGTGGGGTGACCTGGGACAACACCAAGAACCCATTTCTCCACAGAAACTTTATTATAAATATTCTGTGGGAATAAAGACATAGTATTGTGTACCAGCTTGGAAACCCAAACTAACACTTAGCACATTGCTTTTAAGAGAAGGCGATTTCCATGGTCGAAAACTATGATTTACCAATGGCCTCATTTCTTTGTTGGGACCGCTACTGCTTCTCACATGAACTTCATCTTCCCTCCTAGCACTCATCACCCTGTGACAGATCACCTATTTTTCTACTTACTGCTTCATTTTCTATCAGCCTGACCACCCACTCCAATGTGCTGGTATGGACAGAGCCTGACCCATGGCTGGTATTCCAACGTCACCTGCTGAATGAAATGAAGTCCTCAAAAGCTAACCTGACCATCTTGAATTGTTAAGCTTACCAAGTATCTGTTGACTGGCATTTGTGAAATATTAGTCTCCAATCTATTCAGAAAGATGTATAATTAATGACCCAATAAACATGAATTATATGAAAACAAATTGTTAGCCTCTTGGCAAATTATACTTGTTCTAATCTCAAAGATCACATGAATTTGTAAGGGGAAAACAGTTATATTTACTGCCCAAGTTTTTAAATTCATGGTAACCATTAAGACATGTGTTATGACAGTCACAAAAACATCCATCAGCCCAATCTCTGATTTCATTACTAAAACACTAGCTTGAATTGCCTAATCTTTTTGCTTTTGTGGGTAATATTCATATACTTATCTCCTCTGATTACTGTGTGTTTTGTTGATTTTTAAAGATTTAAAATATCAATAGATATATACTCATTTGATTGTTGCTTCAAACTTAAGTCCAGAATTGAAATTCTCCAGTCTGACAAGGGACCAAATATTTTGAGCATTCAGATGGTCTGATGTGTTGCTGTGTTATGTCTTGCTTTATTCAAAGCGGATAAGGAAAACTAATGACTATGTAGCATCACGTTAAAAATCAAGACTCAGTTATTTTTAGAACCACAGACCCAAACTAAAAGCAAACAACACTCCAGGCCTTAGGAAAGGGTCCTTTCCAGGGAGCAGAGATCTGTACCTGGGGGTCCATTCTGAGGAAGGTATGAGGGCCTCTGCTACTCAAAGTCGATCTTTTAAAGGTTTTGCTATGATAAAAATGGTAGTAATCTTCCAGGTTTCCAATCTGCAAAACAAGAAGCAGGATGTTATCAGTTAATACAGTCTTTTTAAAATTTTTTTAAGATTTTATTTATTTGAGAGAACAAGCACACGAGCAGGGGGGAGGGGCAAAGGAGAGGGAGAAGCAGACTCCCCACTGAGCAGAGTAGATGAAGGGCTCGATCTCAGGTCCCTGGGATCACGACCTGAGCCAAAGGTAGACGCTTAATTGACTGAGCCACCCAGGTGCCCCCAGTAAATAGTCTTTTTTTTTTTTTTTTTGAGAGAGAGAGCACAAGAAGGAAGAGGGTCAGAGGGAGAAGCAGACTCCCTGCTGAGCAGGGAGCCCGATGCGGGACTCGA